ACACACACACACACACACACACACGGCCTCATCGTCTCTGAACAACAAAGACTCCACTTCTCCGTCTTTGTGTCTCTCTGGACTCCAGACGTCCTCACTTTACTCTCAATATCAGTTTGGAGGATTTCATGTCAAACATCACATGAAGACGTTTGAGCTGCAGATATGAACCTGTGATGTTTCTCATTCGTGTCCATCACAGGTTGTTATCAGGGTCTTCAAGCTTTGTGGTTCTGCTGTACACAAACATCTCCCTGCTCTGGTCGAGGTCCAGGTTCAGGTTATTTTAAATAATAATATGAACCCTTTATTTGCACTTATACAGACAACCATACAAACAAGAAAAGAAATAGAGATCCATCATAAAAAAGGCTGAACTATAGAAATGTGTTTTGAGCAGCTGCATAGATCAAACTGCAGATCTGATGGATTGAGGACGACTGCTCCAGCGTTTGGGAGAAACACCAGCCAACACCCGGACACATTTAAAACAAGTACAGGAACAGTTAACAGCCTGATCAGGTTTCACCTGAGAGACATGCACGATGTCCCCACATCAAGTTACAGGACGTCTGGTAGACATGAGTCCTGCAGAGACATGTTCAAACATATTATGAAATCATAGGACACAACACACAAACACAGAGACACCACTACAGGACCAATCTTCCACCAGAACAGCTCTGCTACAACCACACACGCGACTGTGCGCCGCGCCACTGCACATTTCAACAGCCGAGAAGAGCTCAGTTTGACACAAGTCAAACAAACAACTGGAGACAACATTTGCCCTCCACCGCTGAGGCAGAGACAGACAGAGACAGACAGAGACAGACAGAGACAGACAGAGACAGACAGAGACAGACAGTATATATCACTGTTGCTATGGTTACTGGTGGAGACTTGTGTGTACGTTCTGGTTTGTGTTTTAGTCCGAACACAAACTGAGACTTTAGAAATCGGTGCCGCCCACATTCTCTTCTGATTGGTTCTCATCAGTCACATGACTCGACTACCAGCGGTGAACACAAAGCGTCGCTAACACTTCCTGTGTCGTCGGCGCTCAGAGAAAAGAAATCCCTGCTCTGACTCTTCACCATCACTGCTCCTCCTTCAGAGGAGTTTCTGTTACCAAGCAACCAACTACAGAGACCATCTACTTCCTGTTTACATCACATGACCAGAGGATGTGACTCAAAAAGTTTAAGTTTGTCCAGTTTGGACGACGTCAAAGAAACATTGTTCCTGCAGTCGTTCTATTTCCTGCTTGTTACAGTAAAAAGACTTCACATTAATACACAAACGATTGAATCTGTTTCTAAATGTTCATTTTCAGCTCAACTCAGAAACTGTTCAGGAATTTATCAGAAAATGTTCCTGGAAAACAAACAAGACTGTTTGAGCAGGTGGAGAAATCTAACGCTCCAGCAGACCTTCAGTTAGAAACCATTGTTATGATGAACCCCCTTTAAATCTGTCTGTCCCCCTCCTGCTCCCTCCCCTTCCCTCCCCCTCCTGCTGCTCCCTCCCCCTCCTCCTCCTGCTCCTCTTGACCTCATGTCATTAATCTCACGGCGCTGCTGCTGTGGAGAATAAAAAACAGACACTGGCCCTTTAAATGTGCTGACAGACGACCCCTCCCCCAACACAGAGAGCCCCGGGG